GATGATCACTGAGCTAAAAACCACCCAGCCCTACTGGGGGAAAAAAAATTTTAAAAAATCCCTGCTTTCCTCTACTTGGCCTCTGGGATTTTACATCAGCCCAGACTAGCTTTATGGCTCTAGCCAGCTCAAGGGATCTGCAGGCTGGCAGCTCCCACCAGCTCAGGACAAGCTGCAACTGAGGTTGGTTTTTAATTGAGGCTGCCAGCCTGGCCATGTGCCTGAAGGGACTCTGCTGCTGTCAGCTTGTCCTTTCACCACAGTCCTTCCCAGCCTTGGGCTCTGCCTGCCTGTCTGCCTGTTGGGTTTTTCTTACTTTTAATAAAAGCTGTGATTTCGGGCAGGGATGCACACGCTTCTGGCCAGGATCTCATGGGTCAGCAGCCACTGCTCTGCTGTCACCCACTGGCACCGCCTTGAAATCCAGATTGAAATGAATTGGGCTTTTGCTGTAGCCCCACTAGGGTTTGGACTTGGCCTTTAACACTCCTCCCTGTGCCGTACATAGCCGTGGATGTGTTTTCAAGCACTGCCACTTAGCTGGGACCCAGGACAGAGCAGACCCCAGTTGCTGTCTCCATGTCCTTGGCAAGACTCACACACTCTCCCTTGCACACAGTGCCAGCTTTTAGGAGGATGCAAACCAAAACCAAAACTAAACCCACTGATTCCAGGGAGGTCTCCTGCACTATTGAGGATTTGCTGCAAGGTTGCAAGTGCTGCAATCTGCGAACCTGCCCCCAGGTCTCCAGCCAGCACTGGCTTCACCTGCACCATAAGCATCTGCCAAGTGTATGGATGCTGCTCACACCCAAGGGAGAAGGCAAAGGAAAAGCATTGGGAAAATGTCTTTTATTGCAAAAGGAGCAAATTGAAGTCCCTCTCATTCGTCAAGCCAAGCTGCACGTGTTGACCAGTGCTAGTGATGCCTGGGTGGCACAAGGCAGGCTGTGGTTTGTATAGTAACAATGGAAAGGGCAGGAAAAACACTGTGTGGGGCAAAGGGGGTGGGCTGGGGCAAGGCAGGCTCCTTAACAAGTTTCACACATTTCACTTCTGGCACTCCTGTAGCCACAAACATCTACTCCATCCCCATCCTGGCCGTCAGTGCTATCTGGAAAGGGCGGCCGCAGGGGCAGTGGGGACAGCCAGGGCCCAGACAGACCTTCTGGAGTGTCTGAGGGAAGTCAAGAGCAGCCTCCTCTTCTTCAGTACTAGCAAAGAGTCCCAAAGCACAGGTCCTCTGAGAGCAGCGTGGAGCAGCAAACCCCCCAGATTCAGTGACAATGGGCCCTTTTTGGGTGGATGTCAGCAGAAATACAGGCACGAGGGTCTGGTCCCCATCCCCAGGGGTGGACGCAACATGGGGATTCGCCTTGACATGGTCTTCTCCAGGCCAGCCCTAAGGCACAGCTAATCCCTTTGCTGTCGGGACGCAAGGGAGGGCGATCCATGATCCAGTGGGTCATCTCCATATCTCTGTCTCCTGCCACCACTGCAAACACAAGAGTGGGGTGGCTGCCAGCTCCTCCCTTTAAGACATATATCAAAGCTGCAGGTTGCACGCTTTAAATGAACCAACAATCTCAACTCTGATTTCAGTGAAGTCTAGGGTGAAAAAAGCCCCAAATCTCCCTGAACCACCAGTCCCAGGTACATGGTACAGACGGACATAGTTAAACTTCCTTTTGTTTTCCAAAATTTTATATCAATCAAGGCAATTCATGTTACAGTTCTGTCTTCGTAACAATTAAGAATTAGAAAAGTGGTTAAAAACAAACCCACCAGCATTACAATCTGACATAGGATGGCATGTGCAAACACTAGCATCCAGAAAACCCAGTATACGACAGTGCAAGCTTCAAAATTCAATCACACGTGCATCACGTTGACCTGCTGCTCAGCTGTGGTCTGCTGTGGGCTGGGTAGAAAAGGCTATATCCAACTCCCAAACCTGTTTCAGGGCTTTTCCTTGGCTGAGTTGAACTAAACCCTGCTTTGGCCAGTGACCCATGGTGTAAATCAGAGACATCTCTTAGTAGCAGTTCCCAAGGTGTCCGTGCACAGAGTGCTTGTGGTCTGCAACATCCTACAGGTCCTCAAATCCTGCAGTGCTGCCAGAAATAGTTTCTGGTAAAAAGGCGGACAGAAAGGGTATGCAGAAACCTGTGAGATAGCTTGAGGTAGCACTGCTGAGCCTGTCCCCAACAGGTGGGAAAGGCTCGATGCCATGGACCCACAGAGAGCCACCCATATGGACCTCTTCAGCATCATCCCTTATGTCTTCCCAACAGCTTTACCTTTCTCCTAGCTGGAGCACTGAATAGCCATGGCCACTTATGCCCTAACTACAGCATTTAGAAAAATAAGGGTACTCTATAATCTTACCCATTTATTCATATAGTTAAATAAAAAGAAAACTAAAATTTGGTAATAAAATCCTTTCTTTTGAGGGGAGGGGCAGGAAGACAGTGTGTCTAATACAGAATTTCCTCCATGACCTTCTTGACAGGGCCTGAAACCACTGCGAGGAGATTGAAGGCACTTCTCTGGCTGCACCCATCATTTTAATAGTAAAGGAATACTAACAGGAATGCTGTGTTTCTCTTCACGCAGCCTCACACCTTACTAGTGAGGGATGTGGTGAGTGGCACAGCAGAGACAGGGAAGGGGAAGACACACAACATCTCCTGGTAATTCTGGGATCCTTCCCATGAAGTCATGTGCCAAGGATCCCACTTCTTCACTGGCAGCTGAGCTGTGCAGCAACATCTCCTCCACACAACGACTCCCGTGCCAGAGGAAGACAAGCATTTCACAAGCACAGGTTGAAAGGGAAGAGCTGGAGCCCCTCAAAGCATGGCCTTTATGCATTTCTGGGGCTAGAGAAGCCCCCTCCACACCCTGTCCTCCTTGCAGGCTGTGGTCTAACTCATCTCCAGGAGCTCCTCACCTTCACCTCCACCCTCCAGTCCAAGGGCCAAATCCTGCCAGTGCCCTGATGACTGACGCTGGGGCTGCAGGATTAACTCCTTGCCAGGTTGTCTGTAACTTGTAACATAACCACTATTTGCACTGGCGGCAGGGAACAAACCTGAGTCCTTCATAGTTAAAAGCCATAAGAAACAGGCTTTGGGACACGCTTGTGCTCCAGCTGGGCAAGGACCTATAGGGCTCCTCTGCACCTCATTTTGAGGCTGAAACACCAAATTATGCAGGGCAGATTCAGACCTCAAGGGATGCTCCAAAGAATCCATCAAACTGGACTTCCTCAATTCCTTCCTAACTATAAAACCGCTTCAGATTTTGTCCCAAACACGTACATTTCTACTCCTGGACCCCATCACAACCCCCAGTTTTGCTGCATCTTCTTTTCTGCCTCCTGCAAAGCCCAGTGGCAGATGGGCTTTGAGAAAGATCCTCACTGGTGCCCGACCCTACCCAAAACACAGCACCACCTCCTTGGGTGGCAGACTCATGCCAGACCCACGGTCAGCCCAGACACAATCCCATGAGAAACCCCGCAGATGCTGAGCTCTCCTTGGCTGGTTGTAGCCTGGGCAGGGTGCCTCAAACCTTCCCAGCCAACGCAGTTCAATTCTGCAGAGGCTCATTAAAAATTCAGGGCCTGAAACATGCTCCCAACCAAGGCACAGCCGGGAATGTCCTGCCCTGGGGAGGAAGGCTGCCAGGCTTCAATCCTGTTTGCTCTGTCTCAGAGCGGAGATTGCCCGCAGCTCTCTGTAAATGCATCTTCCCGTACAAAACCAAATGGGAAAGCTGGGAAAGAGGCATCTCTGCAGCTCCATCCCGGCTGCCAGCGACTTGGGGTGCAGGACCACGTCACCCTGTGTCCCCTGCAGAAGCCTCTGACAGCAACCCTACCTCCAGCACCGCAGACGCTGCCTGAGGAAGGCACCTAATTCTCCCAGTGAGAGAGGAGGGCTGCTTCAGAAAAACCCTCCACAAAATCATCACCTCTAACTGCGACCTGAGACGGAGATGGGTATTAGCTTAATTTCATAGTAGATGGGAACATTTCTGCGGGTGCGATGAGAACACCCGCTGGCACAGACCCATCAGTGCAAAAGCCAGTGTTTTCCACCCACCAGCAAGCCGGCTAGCAGCAAATGTCACTGTCAATCCAAGACACGTGCCACTCCTGGGAACTGGCTGTTCCCGAGAAAGCGCTGCACATACTTTTTGAGAACAGCTTTGCCCCAGGCAGTCCTTCTGCCAGCAACAAACCTGAAAGCTCATCTGTCCTTAAAAACCAAAAGGGATGATATCAGCAGGATAATCATATAACGAAGCAGGGCCATAAATACTTTAAAAAGATCAATGGGGCATGCTGGTATGGATGGCACTGCTCTAGCAAAGGCAATGTTGACACCCAAGGCAAAACACACAGGCAAGTGCATTGCAGCGGGTGTTAAATAGGCGAGGAGGTGGGATGCAGCTGCCCCAGCAAGCAATACGCAGCCCATACAGTTAAAGCACCTGTAAATCACTCGAGTAACCTGGCCCGCCTGGTACCCAGGAAAGCAGGAGCATGGGTCAACAGTCAGTCCAGTGCCACACTAGACCAAAGGGGGAAAAAAAGTATGTGTGTGTATATATATATATGTATCTCTAGTTTGTTTTCTGCTCTTAATAAAGTCCTTTTAAATATATTTGCCATGTTATAAAACTCATGATAGGCTGTGCTGTAGCAACCCTCCCACATCACACGCCCCCACGACCAGCGCCGGGTGCTCCCACGAGACCAGAAACACTCCCACTGGCACTAACCAACCTCCACCTCTTGAAATCCTTGGAAACTGAAAAAGTATTGGGTTTACTATGTGTCTGCAGACAGACTGACAACTCCTTCATGACCTATAGAGAAAACTCTGAATACCATAACCCAACTGGCGTCTCCCACATGCGCCAAACTAAAAAAAAAAGTCACAATGCCTCGAAATAAAAAAAAATTACCCAAAGGACAGTGAAGTCTATTTAATTCCCTTACTCAACCCCAGTCTAAAACAAAATGTGCAATAAGAATTATTTGTTACAAAGTCCTAGGTAAGGCATGGTTATCCCAAAGCTGATGGAGGAGCCCGTTAGGAAACCCAGAGGAAATAGGCGACTTCGTCCAGGTCAACGGGATAGTCCGTGAGCAGCACCGGGGTCTTCTCAAATAACTCCCCCTTGTAGCTGCGCCACTTGCCTGCCGGCAGGTAGACGTCACGTTCCTGCTTGCCCATCTCCAGGACAGGGGCCACCATAAGGGTGTCCCCGATGAGGAACTGGGAGTCAATCCTGTGAGTGGCCTCGTCGCGGGGCGAGATCCACCAGATGGGACGGATGATGGGGTCGCCCGTGTCAGTGACCTCCCCAGCCAGCTCCAGCAGCAGCGGAGCCACCAGCGACTCGTGGAGCTCCGTGAACTTCTGCGCAATCTCCACCACCTCCTTGTCGTAGAGCCAGGGCGGGATGGAGAACTGCATGGAGGGCATGAAGGCTGACAGCTCCAGCCACCGCACGTACAGCTCCCGGTCGGGGATCTCCACTGCCCCCTCCGTCTTGTTGGGGAGGAAGTTTCCTCCGATCATATCTGGCAGTACAAACGGGTACCCCAGCATGCTGATGGTGAGCACCGTGGGGATGAGGGACTTGAGGCCAAGCTCGTAGCCCCAGACAGAGTCACGGTCAATGATGCGGAAGAAGCAGGAGATGTTCTGCGACTGGTAGCCCACCCGCACCTCGGCCAGCTCGTAGAAGGGGATGGCCATCTCCGTGTAGCGCCGTGACCAGATACTGGGGTCCGAGAGTGGGCGGAAGGTGCTGAACTGCTTGGGCAGGTAGCTGGTCTCGCCTGCATCAAACTTGAAGGACGAGATGCCGTACTTGTGTCGCAGCTGGCGCAGGTGGCTCTGGAACCAGTCCCGGGCTGCTGGGTTGGTGAAGTCCAGGATGGCCCCGATGCCGTTCCACCACTCCACCATGGCTGGCAGCCGCCCCGACGGCTCCTTGATGAACAGCTGACGCTCAATTCCCACCCCAAAATTGGAGGAATTGTAGTTTATGAAAGGGTGAGTCCACAGGGTGACCTTAAACCCATCTTCCCTCAGTTTTGCAAACATCTCTGTTACATTGGGGAACTTGACAGGGTCAAAGTCAAAGTCCCCATAGGCTTGCGTGTACATGTCATCAATTTCAATGTGGCTGCAGTTAAAACGGTACTTCTTGATCTTTTCGGCAAACCGCAAGAGTTTATCCTGGTCGATATTGTTCTTGTAGAGGGCCCAGGTGGACCAGATGGGGTATCGGAAGGCATTCTCGGCGGGGATCTTGGAGGGCTTGTTGAAGTACCTGCGCACCATGTACTTGTGGATGGAGGTGACGTCGGAGCCCACGCAGACCCGGTAGCTGAGCTCGGGGAAGGGCTGCTGCCCCGGCGGGGGCTTGTAGGGCGAGTCCTTGTAGCGGGCCTGGAAGAAGAGGGCACGCTCGGTGGCGTTGAAGCCCAGGTGGAAGGGCACGGAGTCGTTGATCTTGATGGCCGCCGCCTTGGAGGAGAGCCAGTAGCGCTCGAGGATGCCGCCGAAGCTGTCTCGGAAGGAGTAGACGTCGCTCGTCACGTAGGGCACGGGCTCCTGGTAGCCGGACAGGCGGATGGGCCAGTGCTGGGTGCTCATCTCCGAGCCCCCGTACCAGTGGGCGTCCTCCCAGAACATGGTGTGCTCCACCGCCGGGCCGGCTGCCAGCTCCTCCCAGCGCACACGGTAGCACATCACCGTGTCCTTGGGCTTCACCGTCTGGATGAAGAAGTTGAGCGGCCCCCCGCCCGACCGCGTGCAGCTCAAAATCTCGCCCTCCTTGGAGCACGACTCCAGGTCAAGGCTGCCCGAGCGGAAGGCCAGGCGGAAGACCACCTCCCCGTGCTGGTTCCTGATGACAAAGCCATCCGCCCGCAGGTCCATCAGCTCCGTCTTGAGCCGCTCCGCCTTCCGCAGGGACACCGTGTAGTAGCACCAGGCCACCACTGCAGCAATGAACAGGATGAGGCCCAGCAAGATGGCCCCCAGCATGGGCCTCAGCTCCTTGGAAGGCTTCTGCTTCACCGGTGTGAAGTTCTCTGGCAGGAAGGTGTACATGGTGCTCGGTTTTCTCTAGAGCTTTTTGCAGAGGAGCGGGAAGGAAGATCTCTTTGCAGCAACCCTGGGACTCTCAGCGTAAGAAAACGGACTGTTAGGAGAGTTCCCACCTCCACCGAGTCCCAGAGCACCCGTCTCTGAAAAAGAGGAGTATATAAATAGTCTCAGAAGAACCTCCAAATCAAGGGATGGCCTGTCATCCATTTGCCATCTCAATTTCAGCAGCTCCCCCCAGCCCCCCGCTGCCAGGCTGTGACATGCCAGGTGCTGTACGCCAAGTACCAGACACCATCTCCAATTACGCAGGGCAGACAACACGTGCGGAGAACAGCCTGAGCCCCATGTGGAGAACCACCCCAGGGCAGTAATGACCAAATCATTGCCATAATTAATTATTTTTGTAGGGAAGATCTTCAGTGAGGCAGGAGTGAAGACTGAGAGGGGCTAGGAGGAGGCTGAGCAGGAGCTAGGTCAGCCCACCGACAGTACCTTTATAAAGCACAGGGCTAACTAAGAGCCTTAAAAGACACCACGTAATGAATTCCAGGCAGCCGCTCCTAATTTTAATCAAACTGCCTCCCTGGCAGATTTAACTCAGCTGACCCTCAGCACCATCCCCTCCCCATGCCCAGCATGTCCCAGCTGGGCAACGCTTTGCTGCAAAGGCGGGTAAATCCCTGCTTCTCCGCAGCTCCCGGATGGCCAAATGGGGCTGAGGCACCAGTGGGTTGTGGCTGGTTTTGGGGAGCACGTAGCGGGTGCATTGTGCAGCAATGCATGACTGCAGGAGATACTGCGCCAGCAGCCCTGAGCAGGAGGAGAGTGGCTCGCTCCTGCCATGCTCACAGACCCCTGCAACAGCTCCGGGTGGGAGAAAAGCTAATTTTGTTGGGAGTTAGCAGTGCAGGACCCCCAGAGGGCTCTGGGCTGCATTTTGGCTCCAGCCCACTCCCCCCACGCATGGCCCCAGGGAAGCGGGCTGCGCCAAGAGCCTAATGGCTTTTCCTTGGCTGCGGGCTGGCTGGGCTCGGCCAAGCACAGCGCCGGGGATCCAAAGGGGAAAAGTAAAGTAAGGACACGGGAAAGTGAGAAACAAGCCCAGCTGCAGGAAGAGCAGGGGAAGGAGAGGAGCAGCAGACCAGCTGGCCGGTACCTGCCTAGCACCAGCAAACACCAGCATGCTACCTCCTCCCCAAGCCCTGGGGCTGTAAGCCTGCCAGCTCTGGGCAAAGCGGAGGAAAAATAACCCTCTTCTTGGGCATAAACAAAGCTGGTTGCAGCAACTCCCTCTAAAGCGGTTGATTTCTTTTTAAAAAAAAAGAAAAAGATCCAGAATTAAACACCGAACCTTCTCCCTGCTGCAGGCGTGACAAGCCAGAGCACATTGTCCTCTGTACCTCGAACAGGGAGCACATTGTCCTCTGTACCTCGAACGGATCTTTCTCCCCAAAAAAGGACAAGTAAAGCAGAAAGGGGTCCTGAGAACCACCTAAACCCCGCTGCTCAGGTGTAAACCCAGAGCAGCATCTGTGTGCAGGCTCAACAAAACATACAGCATTTTATATTCAACTTGAAACACGTATTGGACCAGACCTTGCAGCTGGGGGAACTTTCTGGTTGCCGGCCCGGTCATTTTAACCTTCCCCTGGGAGCCAGTAACTTTCTAGGCTGCCAGTTGCTTTAAATGGGATTACAGCGGCATTAGGAAGCGATTAGCCTGAACAGGCGATAGGTTTAGCTAAACTGCTTGTCCCATGGCCAAGTCCCTCAGAGCCCTCACTCGCTGGCGGGGAACTCCAGCACGGGATGGGAGCAACTCCAACCACCCCAAATGTGTCACCCAGGGCCAGATCCTGCCCCCCAGGAGGGGAATGGGGCCCTCACCCACCAGCACGTGTGATGTGAGCCCAGCTGAGCCCAGCAAAAATTGGGCAATAAAGGCAGGGAAGAGACAGGCAGGTGCGAAGATGCTGTGTTTGGGATAAACCTTCGTCCCCCCTATTAATGCCTCCTTGGCTTTGGGGTGAATCAGAAGCAGCCCAGGATTGTACTGGGGATGGCGGGGAGGAAGGTTTGCAGAAACCAAAACCAGTACAGCTGAGTGAAGCCACAAGTGGCAGGATGGTTCTGGAAATACAGATGGGTATGCTGAGCCCAAATGAGCTCCCTCCCTCTCAGCACTGGGAATTTTTGGGATGCCAGAGAGAGACACGCAAATGCCTGTCACTATCAGAGGCATGTCTGTGTCTCACAGGTGCCTTATCTGGGGACTGCAAAGCTCAAGGAAAAATAAAATGCAGCTTCCACCAAGCAGGACTTGCAAATTATTTGGGAAAAAAAATTTTTTTAGAGTTTTCATGTTTTCTGAAAAAAAAGAGGAAATAAATGGTGTTTTCTTTCCCAGTTCTCATTTAGGGTTTTAAGCCCAAGAAATGGCCAATACTGCCACTGTGGGGACAGCCACCTCCTCACTCCATGTGAAATTGACATTAGCTCCCAGGGCTTTAGAGATTTTCTGGATTTTCATCTCTTTTTCAGGAGGCGAGTTTATTATTTATGAACTACTTCGAAGCTGCTCTATTTTTAGGCTGTTTCTTTCTTTCCCCCCCATGGGCTGGAGCTCAGGACATACATGAAGGAGATGTCACTGCCACTGCCAGTAGAAAAATAATGTGTTTTTTAAGAAAGGTTTTGCAGCCTTTTGTGGCCTTTGGACACCGATCTGCCTCGGAAGGATGTGCAAGCCAGGTGTCTGAGCTGGTGGATTTAATCTTGCTCTGGTCGTTCTGGCTGGGCCAGGATCAAACCCCTGTGGCTGCCCTGGGGTAACAGACATCACCCACTCTGGTACCACTCCAACAAAGATGCTGAGAAGGGTGTTTGCAGGGATCACCCAGCATACTAATGGGCCAGGGAGGTCTTGAAAAACAGGATCTCACTCTGTGCCCGCCCAGCCCCTCTATTTTGTTGCCTTGTTAACAAAATGTACGTTCTACAGTCGGTGATTTGGCTTTGTCCCAGATGAGAGGTAAGTCTCCCAAGTTCCTTGGAGACGCCTGCCGTCTTGCACTCAAGAGCTGCAGCCCGCAGAGGTGCCTGCTCATGCAAAGCCTCTTTCAACATTTTTTTTGGAATGCAAACTTGTTATTTTGCTCCAAGATGACATTGCGGTGACCTTTAATGCCTCAAAAAAAAAAAAAAAGAGAAAATGGGAACGGAGGGTGTCAAAGCCAAACAGCATGTTTGTAGCTTGCTGCACTGGAGCTTCCCTGCTGACCCAAAACAAAGCTTTTTCTTCCTGTTCTGTGGAAGCAGTGAGTCGCCTTGCTTCAACTCGAGATGAAAGCAAAATATCCGAGCAGGACACACTTTACGGAGTAAAAATAAAAATCCATTTTTTGACCGCTTCTATTTTTACCAACACCGCTGCTAACCACAGGCTGCGAGACCCACAGCACCACTAACCCCAGCAATTTTGCAACTAGGACATTCATTTAAAGAGGGTCAATAACATTTAACTGGTCCCTATTGCCCTGGTGGAGTCAGGTCTGACCCGTGCCAGGGGCCAAGCTCGTGCTGGGGACATGCGCCCATTTCCCATGCTGGCATGCTGGGAAACCCTTCCCTCCAGTGCAAGGTGCTGCCGCTTCTTCCCCAAACATCTTGGCAGGAGTCAAGCTAAGGAAACACAGGAGATTTCACCGGGAGGCATCTCCAACCCCATAAAAGAGCAAGGAATTAGGATGGCAAATTAAGGGGGAAATTAATTCTCTGCAAAACAGCTGCAGGGGCTAAAAAGCTCCACGTGCCCACACTGCAATCCCCCGTGGGGGACCAGCCCTGCCAAAGGGACTTTGCAAACCTGAGACGGGGGATGAGCAAACCCTTCCTGGGAATTTAATTTCCCTTGGAGGGCTCTGCAGCAGCACTTCAGTTCTCTGTAGGGGTTTTTGGAGTCATAAAGGGTGAAATTACTGTTCCAGCCACTTGGTGCTGATGGGAGCAGGTGGGACAGGCCGGGGCACCCTGTGGCAGAGCCAGCAAAGGGCTGCTCCCCCCACACCCCAGCCCCCCCCATGGATCAGAGGCACCGATTCCTCCCCCAGCCGTGCAGAGCCACCCGCAAGGATCCCCCCAAATACCGCACTGGATCGCCCCAGGACCCTGGGTTTATCCCCGCGGTACAGAAGCCACCCCAGGGTGAATGTGGGTGGCACAGACCCCTGGCACCTGAGTCCAGGCAGCGACCCTGCCTTAGCACGACAGGGACAGTGAGGGGGACACAGTGCTTCCTTCCCAGGGGACCCTCACCTTCACTGTCCCTGCAAAGCAGGGACTGACCGGCTGCCCGGTCTGAGGGGCTCGGGGAAAGGCTGCATGTGGGGATGGGTCTCTGCGCCTCCTGCAAAGACGTGTGCTGTTGGGGCTGCTGCCTCTGTGGCAAGACACGGCAGCAAATTCCCCACAGCACCCAGCTGTCAGATATGGACAGCCCCGGCCAGGAGGCAGCTCATCCCACTGGGTGCACGGTGCCGGTACTTACCCGACCATCGCCTCCTGGGGATCCCTGCCTGCCACCTGGCTGTGCCACAGATGGCTTTTTAAGCACCTAAAAAGTAAGTGCTGCTACATCTCCGCGTCCCCGTCAGCTTCATCCTCTCCGCATGGGGATGTTTCGGGACTACGAGCTGGCTGCAACCTGAGCAGCATGTGTCCACAGGCAGGAGGAGGGGACCCAGCACGTCACGGGTGTGTTTTCTCGGGCACTTTGATGGATGTGTGAGCAGCCAACCCTCTGGTCAGGGTGTGCCGAGGCAGCGGCACCCGGCCAAGAGGTGGCTGCCGCAGGCATCCTGACGGCATGAAGGGCACACACTTTGCCAAGCACCAGCTCCCGGAGTCGCGGGATTCGGGCTGGCATCTCGCCTCCCTGCCAGGTGAGCATGAAGGGCCAGCAAAGGCTTGTCCCCTCCTGCATTCACAGGCTCTCCAGAATCAGAAAGCAAACCAAAAACCAACCTAGGGTTTGGGTTTGGTTTTTTTCCTTCCTCAGGTCTTGTGATTTTGAGCAGAGTCATGATTCAGCAGAGTAACAAGGCTTCCTTGAGCAAAAAGAAACAAGCAGCCCCACTGCTGCTGGCTGGTTCGTAAGCCAGGATTAAACAGCACCGGGCACCCAGAGGATAAACCCCAAATCCAAGGGGGCCACATGAATACAGAGCTCACCTGCAAAGTGCAGACATGCTGCGAGCACCTCGCTCTGTCTGCAAGAGCAGACAGGAGATTTGAAGCTGTGGCATTAGCTCTGCCGAGCCTTAAATAGTTTTACGTGTATTGTAGGAATCATCACTTTACAGCCCAGTTATGTCCCTTAAAGCTGCCAGTGTCCAGTGATGCTCCAAACCCATGTAGACACCTCATGCAGTGTCTGACCATGAATACAGAAAAGCCACTGGGAGTCAATTCCGGCAGCAGATGACTTAATATTTAACATCCCTGACAATTCCCCTTTTGCAACATCATTTTTCTTTGTTCTTCACCCTGTGCTAATTAGCAAGATGAAGTTTTAATAAGCTGGGTTTTCACTCTAACGCTGCACACCGCTTGTGGTGCTGCAGGCTAATGACTAAACCATGACCAAAGGCTCTCGCTTTCCCTTGCCTGGAGGCACATCACAGTGCCTGAATTTGTCTGAGCCGCAAAGATTTGTGGAGACTTCAAAAGAAAGCGAGCTCTCCTGGTCCACTTGTATCAAAGTGCAGCGACACGTGGGAGAGAAAGCTCTGGTGTTCTCCCTTCAGGTACATCTCTGTGTCCACCATGGAGATATTCTACAGCCCCTGAGGGAGCAGGAGGCAGCCTGGCCCTAAAGCTGTGCTGCGGGGTAACCCAGAGCCCAGCAGTCAGCTCCTCAGCAGCTGCGGGGCCAGCAGCTCTTGGAGAGGTATCAACTCAAACCACCCAGTTTGTGCCCAACAGCGGCGAAAGAAATACACCAAATACCAGAGAAAAAAAAAACACAAAACAACCTGAGAGCAAGAACTGCAGTACTTTCATTGCTCACACTGAAGGAGCCAGCACGAGGCCGGGACATGGCCCAGCAGAGCTGGTCCAGAGGGCAAGTGTATGATACCCTGGTGTGAGGCATTGGTCTGCTATTAGCCTATTTCATTTGCCATGTGTGCTGTATAAGACACACAGCCATAAAGATTTTGGTGTCCTTGCTGCTGTCTTTCGGTCCCCCAGCCCAATTCCTGCTGGGACAAGTTGTGCTTCATCCACCACCCTATCACTCCAACAGCCTCTCTCCCCAGTGCTCCCACGGGTGTTAATCTTGCTCCTGCTCATCTCCATCCTCCAAGACAAACCGCCCCACAGCAAGACCTGTGCTCCATTTTGCCCCCCTCCACCCAGATCCTTTCTTACAAGAGCCGATTCAGCACTTTGGGAGCACTCAGCATTTCAGATGCTGAGGCAGGCTGAAACCTGAGCCCACCTCAGCAAGTACTACAACACGATATGGGGAATAAATGGAAACCTAAGCACATCCATCTGGCATGGTCCCTGCGATTTTCCAGACATTGAGACACCATGAAACTCCAGGTACTGGCAGCTCCAGAGAGCGGTGGATGGCTCACGTTGCTGGGCTGGCGACTCAGGATCCTGAATTTCCATCTGTATCCAATAGCCAACGATGCTGGACAACCTTGGGCCAAATGCAATCAACAATCCCTTAAGGTGCTCCCTGACAGCTCTTCCACCTGCAGATCCAGCCACGCAGGCACAACCTCCCCACCCTCGTCCCCCACGGGGCTGTGGGTGCCCACTGTGCCCTTTGGGCATCGCGTCTCCCAGGAGGGAGAGGGAAAAGAGAAAGAAGGACCTGCGCTTCCTAAAACAGCTGTGGCCGCTCGTCGCCACTGCCGGCACTTGCTGATGGAGGGTCTGCCCCAGAAACCGCTCCAAACCCAACCCGGCGCCCTGCACAACGCGCGGCGTAAACCCCTCTGCTGAAGCCGTCGCCGCCAAACATCTGTCTAGCGGCAAAAGTTGAAGCCGCACCTTGCGAGTGGAGCCGGGGACGCGTCTCCGGGCTCCCTTCATCTTCTCCAGGCGGCGAGACTCCTTCCCGTCGCAAGAAAAAAAA